TCTCACATCTTTCGGCCATCATTCCTCTGTCCTCTCCTTCGGCTGTGTTTTTCCTTTTATATGGAACCTCCAACTCTCAACCCTCACCCCAATGGTGAGGATGAAAGGTTTTTTCTACTCTATCATCCAGCCATCCGATCATACCCTTGCCATATTTTCTGCAAATGTTTTTATACGCCGCATGCATGCGCGGCTTTTTTTTTTAATTTTTAAATCACTTAATTTAAATCACAATAAAAATAATAATAATTCAAACAAACTTAAATTTAAATAAAATGTACAAAATTAATAACCAAAAGATAAAAAAATAAAAAGCGAAGATTTTCCTTTTTTTTCTTTTCTTCTTTTTCCTTTTTTTTCATTTTTCATTTTTTCATTTTTTTTCATTTTCATTTTTAAATAATGAAACTAAATCTAAAACAACTAAAACATATTTTTTTGAACGCTTTTCTTTTTTTCTTTGAGAAATTCTACGCTAAAATGGCTAAAATAACTAAAACTAAAAGTAAATAAAAATAATTGTGACAAATAAAAATAGAACAAATAAAAAACGAATAGTAAATAAATAAATAGTAAAACACCAAAAATTTGGTGTCTACACAATACAACTTACATCCACTAATTTAAGCACTAAACCAATATTAATCATATCAAAACCCATAAAATCAGTCCTCAAGTCATTGTGGGAGTTCATAGAGCCCACACACCAAAATCCAACATAAATAAAGCTACCCACATGGATATATGAGTTCACAAGTGTAATATAACTTCTATAAACTAAAATTCAAGGGTTCATCGTCATTACCTCCTTAGATGATCAAGATCAGAAATTTGTGGTCACTTTGATACCCAAGAAAACCGTGGAAATGAAGCTTTCTTCCTAGCTTAAGTGAATCTCCAAGTTGTTTGCAAGTTGTAGTTCAATTTTGGAGTGATTCGGGTGAGAAATGAGGGAGTTGTTGAAGAACAAATTTGGTTGTCTTCTTCCTTGGGGTGATGCACGGCAGGTAGAGGAGAAAAGAAAGGTTGTTGCAGCTGCAAAAGCTCTTGAGGAAGCTTAAGAATGTGTGTGGCTAAGAATACTCCAAAAGTCAACTAAGACTAGTGCGCGTACGCGCGCGTTTCGTGCTCGTTTCCTCTCAGATTTGTTTCACTAGTGCACTAAACCTCCAATGCACTTGTATTCATACTATTATTATTCACTCTTAATAGTCTAGAATAAATTTCTTAATTCTCCAATTAACCGCTACGACTCGATATACGCGAATTTTTGATTTATACGCGCTTCGGTGGTGAAACCTCTAAGAAATTTTTATAACGATAGTACTACTAACTAATACTTGAGTACTTAAACATAAAAATACCTATTTTTAAGACTGGTGTATAAGCCTCCAATTTTCCAAACTCTTCCCAAATCGATCATTGTCTCGAAAACGAGTATTCACTATTGATCATTATTACTTTTCCAAAATTAATACATCCTTAATTCAAATATAGTCTCAAAAAATGTGTATTTGTTGTTCCGAACTAAATGAGTTTTCGAAAAGTAACTTTTCTAACAAAACGCTTTAAAAACATAAGAGAGATGTTTTTCCATATAAATGAATTTTAAATAGTTGAATTAAATAATTAATTAAGCCAGTAAAATAAAATAAAATAAGAAAATTTTCGGGTCCTCACAACCTCCCCTCCTTAAAAGAATTTCGTTCTCGAAATTCACACTTACGATAATATCGTACCCCTTATTTGCCAGGTCCACTAGATTTATCAAAATTCACAGCTTCTATAATTTGCACTAACAATTAAGCTCTGATTTCTTCATAAGACTCCTATTCTCCAAACTATAGGGCAGCAATCACACTTTACTTATACCACTCACGAAAATAGGATTTTCACAAAAATAGTCAACTCCAGGGTCAATTAAAGGTCTAGTTAAATGATTCCATCTGGTGGCTCGAAATTCGAATAGGAAGATATATTTCCAATAGAAAACTAACTTTACCAAAATCTTCGACTCAATTTTTTAAAAAATCATTTACTGGCATTCGATCTCCAAAATTAACAATTTTAGAAATAACTGGATTTCTTTGGTCCCAAATGACCACTCAAATTTTTGTTCAAATCAAGTCAATCATAATATGCAAGAAAAAAATGAGGGTTTTTTTAAATGTATTTCGGATATGTATGTGGCAAAATACGATTCACAATTTCAAAATTAGAGTTAAAAGATACAAACCTTTCTTCATGGTTCGAAACTAAGTTTTCTTAGTAAGAAACTTCAGGCAATGTTTTTGCCACCGTCATTAATACATATTTCAAATTCCTCAAATACATTTAAGAAGATTAATCATGCGACTCAATGCATGGGTATTAAAGAGTGTATACAGTGAAATAACATATAATTGAAGGATGTTTCAAAATTTTCATCAAAGTTTTGATTTAAGAATTGCGTTTAAATAAGTATATATTCTAGAAAATGTTTTTAAGAGAGAAAGTGTTTTTTTTAAGTACAGCAGATAAGTAATGAGTTCAAGTGTGACAGCCCCATCTCTCCCTAAGACGAACCAAAGGGTTCGACGGACCGCCTGCCCAACTCTCACCAGGACTACGGATCCAAAACGTACAAAACACCCCTTTTTGTTCGAGGGGAAAAATTCAAAAAAGCGAACGATCAACACGTATGAAGTCATTCCTCTCCAATAAATATCACTACGTATGAATGTACAGCACTCAAGCACTTAAAACGGTTAAGAAAATGAAAAATGAAAGTTTGCCGTGGATGAACAATAACGGCAACGTCACTATCCGGCCGGATTCTTGGCCAGATATGAGGCAGTGGCCAACTCCACAAGGGTTCGAAATCCCCTGCCAATCCGGCCGGAAACTGGCCGGATTGCTCCGGCCAGAGGCCAAAACCCAAAATTTTTTTTCCTCCCCTGCATATCCGGCCTTGTATCTGGCCAAAATTTGGCCGGATTCTTCGCCGGATTTGGTGAACAGTAACCTCGCTAAAATTTTTCCTTCCTCGCTCAAATTCGGTACTCGTCTCAAATCAAGTCAAACACGTAAAGCAGTTAATCCTCAACTTAATGTATACATGCCATAACATATCCATATCATATACATATGAGGAAGTACAATTATTGATCCCGTATTTACAACATACACTCAAAAGTATACTTGAATTCGAATATATCAAGGGTTTCCTAAACAATCAAGGAGCTATTCAAAAGAACAAAATGCCTAACTAGCACAACTCGTTTTCTCAAAAACTTGGTTTCGAAAGTGTCCCTGTAAGGAAAACAAAACAACGGGGGTGAGCTTACGCTCGTGAGGTACCAAAACTCACAAGTACACTATGCATGGCCAACAAACACACAAATGCTTTCATCATAACAACCACATATAAAAGGATACGGTCGGCCCTCAAGAGCCGTTTTCCAATTGCCGTACTTGATCATACTCGTTGACACTCCGTCAACTGTTGAAGAGAAAACAAGACCGTAGACTCCTCTTTACACCATTTCCTTCCACCGTTCACCCCCTTACCATGCCCGGACACCTCACAGTTACGAAAGGTAATACTCGAGTATACCATATGGTCCAGGAGTTAACACTCCACTCAACTCACAGTGACCCCAAGGTTCGTTATCGATTCGCCAAAGCCCTTGCCGGCTCGACTCGAATAACGACCTAAGGGAATGAGCTCAGATTTCCCAGTAATAATCGAGTGTAGCCCTAGCAGACTTCCAATCAGGCACATATACAATTTCACAGTCAAACAGTAACAGTAATACAAATAAGAGATCGAGAGCGATAAAGTACACTCTCGTCCCATTCAAGTCATTCAAGTCACATAACAAGTATAAAAGACCATATAATGATACACTCCCCGAAGAAATCAAGCAATTCACACGTTCGCGTCGGACGTAGGCCCGGATCACCGGTAGGACCTAAACAAGCAAGAAAAGCATGTTTGAGACTCGATTACGGGTCAAATCGTTATAATGATCCACTAGTATGCTATCACTCAAAAGTAAAACGAAGTGACAGTGGTGTTAGGTATGAGTAATCCCAAACCCTCTTCAATTCGATCCAAAATCATTCCCAACTCAAGATTACCAATTCTCTATAACCTTGGACAGCATTTCCCCTTGGATTTTCACATTTCCAACCTATCATTCATCATCCAAGTTATCACACACACACCTACATAGCTTATAGGTCAATCCACTCACCTCATTAGGGTCTTATTACCCTCAAAAGTCAATCAAACATAGGCTCAAGGCAAACCATAGAAAAGCCCCAAATATAAAACCCTAAAACTGAAATTTTCTTACAAAAGCGGAAATTTTCCGCAATCAACGTCCATTAACACATAAAGGCTCTAAACTCTTCAATATAAGGCTCTCATACCTCAGCTAACTATAAGCAACTATATAAAACAGAAAAATTCCCAAGAAATAGAAAAATTAGACAACTCAACCATAATTCATGAAATACTCCATAAAATTGCATCTTTAACTACTAACACCTACTAATTTCACATCATAACCAACAAAGAGCAATTCCTTAACCACTCACCTTTCAAACACAAGATACAAGGTAGAAGAGAGTCTTTCCCTCCAAACAAAACCACCAAGCACTTCAATTCTACCTAGCAAGTAGGTTTTATGGAGAAATTTGGGAGATGAATGGTTAGATTCCAAGATTTTAGCAAGAAATGAAGAACCAAGGTTGGAAGTTTTCTCTCTTTTTCTCTCTATGATGGTTGGCCAAGAGGAGGAGAAAATGAGGGGATTTTTGGGTCAAAATTGATTATAAGGAAAGGTAAAGAAAATGGTCAAAAGTCCAACTTTCAATAGAAATGCAACATGTGCCCCTTTCAAGCTTATCCCACGTCCTTGTCTTGTAATGCTTAATTAAATTAGCTAACCTCTAATTAGCTCATAATACAAGGTAATAAAATCTCCATATATAAAATTTCTCCCAAACCACATTTACTGTACCAATCGCACTAGTGGTCCCACATCCACTGTACCCCCTATTACCACAGAAAATAACTTATTTCAGGAAAGTGATTTAAAATTCATATTTTCTCATAAAATCCCCAGAAAATGTACATATTAAGGAAAACACTAAAATTAAGCCCAAAAGCCTAAAATAAATGCCTAGAAAATAAGAAAATTTTCGGGGTCTCACACTTTCTCCCCTTAAAGAATTTCGTCCTTGAAATTTCTCACCTGAGTCATTAAACAATCCAGGGTATTTCTTTCTCATCTCCTCCTCCATCTCCCAGGTCGCTTCTTCGACTCCGTGGTTCTTCCACAGAATCTTCACCAGTGGAATTTGTTTATTCTTCAGCTCCTTAACTTTTCTATCAAGTACTCGCACAGGTCTTTCCTCGTAGGTAAGGGCTTCGTCAATTTCAATCTCCTCCGGTTGCACAATGTGAGTTGGATCGGGGTAGTACTTTTTGAGCATTGATACATGAAATACATCGTGAATCCGTGACACGTTTGGCGGCAACTCAAGTTTGTACGCTACTTTCCCGACTCGCTGAAGAATCGAAAAAGGTCCTACGAATCTAGGTTGGAGCTTTTTTCCTCTGCCAGCAGTAACACTCCGCAACGGGGTAATCTTAAGGAAAACATGGTCTCCAACTTCAAATTCTAGATCTTTTCTTCGGTTATCTGCATAGCTCTTCTGGCGACTTTGAGCTGTCTGGAGTCTCTGACGGATTAACTTGATCTTTCTTGGGCATCCTCTATCCAAGGAATAATAGTAGAGTCTAGGATCTTCTTTTTCTCCTATTTCATCCCAGTATATCGGTGAATGGCACTTTCGCCAGTAAAGAGCTTCATACGATGCCATTTGGATCGATGAATGGTAACTGTTATTGTAGGCGAACTCCACTAACATCATATGTTGATCCCAACTACCCCGAACTCTAGAATACAAGTTCGTAACATATCCTCAAGGGTCTGAATCGTCCGCTCCGACTGTCCATCCATCTGAGGATGATAAGTGGTGCTTAAATTCAGCTTCGTCCCAAAAGTCTCCTGAAACTTTTGCTAAAATCTGGACACGAAACGAGGGTCTCGGTCGGAAACTATACTCACGGGCACACCATGCAATCTCACAATCTCCTCCAAATACACTCGAGCTAACTTATCCATGGAATACTTCATATTCACTGGTAAGAAATGAGCCGACTTGGTCAACCGATCAACGATTACCCAAACAGCATCATGTCCTTTTTGGGTTCTAGGTAGTCCAGAAACGAAGTCCATAGTGATATGTTCCCATTTCCATTCGGGTATCTCCAGAGGCTGTAGTAGTCCATAAGGTTTTTGGTGTTCGGCCTTAACTTGCTGGCATACTAGACAAGTTTGTACATATTGAGCTATATCCCTTTTCATCTTGTCCCACCAGTACAATCGTCGTAAATCCTGGGGCAAATTATCCAATTGGCCCTTTAACTCTTTGTCTAGGTAAAATTAAGCCCCTCATCTAATTTTTCTGACTTTAAGCCCTTGAACTTGTAAAACTGATAAACCGTGGCCCTTTTAGCCAGTTTCTCCGGTTTTGCAACCGGAGGACCAATTCACACGAATGCAACTGTACTTCTTCAAAGGGCATTTTTGTCCGCATATTCTAAACAAAAAGCGCACAACTCCTCCCTCCATTTTCGTAACCCAACCCAACTGCTAGTCGAAACTTCACAGCAACAGCCTTACCATTTTCATCTTCTCTTGAGGATCTTTGCAGAGGGAGAAGAGCAAGAGAGTTAATTCCTACTTGTCGGGTTTGGGTATCATCGACATTGAAGCAACAATGGAGGGGTGGCAAATCAGGCCAGAAAATGAATACTTTGATCCTGTCCTCGCTTATGGTATGTATATTCATTCGAATCTTTAAATGTGAAATAGGTAGCATATTTAGTGGTCAGATGGGTGAAAAGAGTAAAATTTTGGTGGTGGGGTTATTGAAAGTGACGTGCCAGTGGTCCTAGATGTAGGGGTATGGTGGTGGGCACCAAAGTTTGTTGTTTAGATGTTCAAAAAGTGTAGGGATTGACGAATAATTAGCATTTCATTAAAAGTTGGAACTTTTTTATTGTTTAACTTCGATTTAAGCATTACATTAGGGTTTCCCTTGATAAAAAGCATGTGAAAAAGAAATTGAAATTTTAATTAATATATTTGAATTTGAATAGTATATTTATCTGCATTTGTTGTAGCCCAATTTGTATTGAAACAATATATTCATATTGATATGCAGATCCAGAATGTGAAATATTTAGCATAAGATTACACCATGGGGGAAGAATAAATTGGGAAAATTATGTCAGTTATGAGAATGGAAAAGTGGCCTACATAGATATGTGTGATGCTGAACGTATGTCAATGCATGAGTTGAATAAAATGGTTGGAAAAGTTGGTCATCGTAATGCAACCATTTTATACTATTACCTTGAACCAGTTGCAGATATAAGGACTGGTTTGAGAGAATTGTCTACTGATACCCATGTTAGGACATTCTGTGACTGGGCATATAAATTCAAGGTGATGGAAGTGTATTGCCATCATCTGACAGACCCAGAAATTGAAGAACTGAAAAATGCTGTAATAATAGAGTCACCAGACAAGGGGAAAAAGAAAACTGGAGTTGTCATAGAGGAAGTAGATGAGGAAGAATGCATAACTAGATATGCAGGTACTGGGAAGAGTAGTAGAAGGGATTGTATGGTTGGGAATGTAGGGGGTGAAAAAAGAGCAAAAAATAGTCAAAGGGATAGTAATGTTAGGCCAGTAGAAGGTGTAGATACGGTTGAAAAGGTAGGGGGTGCAAAAACAGCAAAAAGCACTCATGCAGCTAGTAATGTTGGGACAGAAGAGGGTGTTCATGAAGCTGACTATGGTGGTGGTGAACACGAAGGTGAACATGAAGCTGACTATGGTGGTGAACAGCAAGGTGAACATGAAGCAGAGGGTGAAAACATAGATGATGAATCTGAATCACAAGTAGAGGAAGAAAATGATAGATTTAGTGGGCAGCTGTTGAAAAAGAGGCCACGGAGCAATGGAGATGGTTCCTAACCCTCTTGAGTGGCGACCTGGAAATACAGAACCAGGGACATTATACTTTCATGTCCGACCAGCAGAAGGTAAAAGCTTAATGAGAGATCTAAAACTTTTATTCTATGGTAAAAACAAGCCCCTGAACTTTTTATAGCAGATTTTAAGCCCCTGAACTTTTAGTGTAGGTAAAAACAAGCCCCTGAACTTTTTAATATAGCATACTTGTTGCCCTCAAACTAACCTCTTGGCTTAGATATCTAACTTATACCTGTTGTGATATTTTTTGTAGGGACTAGACAGAGCACTCGCAGAGGTTCTACCAAATTCTGAACACAGATACTGTGTTCAACACATGTATAGGAATTTCAAGAAGAAACATCCAGGATTAGGTTTAAAGGATCGATTGTGGCATATAGCAAGCACCACAACAGTTGAACATTTCAACCAAGCCTTGGATGACCTTGAAGCCTATGACCAAGAAGCACATGCATGGGTGAAGAAGGGACCACACCCTCGACATTGATGTAAGGCCTTTTTTTCCAAACATACACAGTGTGATATGTTGGTTAATAACCTCTGTGAATCATTTAATGCCCATATTTTAGAGGCTAGGGACCAGCCTATTATTTCTATGATGGAGGCTATTAGGGAATACCTCATGGAAAGGATCCAAAAGAGAAGGGCAGCAATGGAAAAATACAAGTTAGATGGTGGACCACTCATTAGACAAATTGTGGAAGAAAGGGTCAAACGTGCAGCATAATGGGAAATAACATGGAATTCAAGCTCAGGTTATCAAGCAAAAGGGCCACGGGGAGCCCAATTTGCTGTTGACCTTGACAAAAATGAGTGCACCTGTAATTTGTGGGCCTTGAGTGGCATTCCATGTTCCCATGCAATTGCTGCTCTACATAGAGCTAAAAAGGATCCCTACAAAATGTTGGCTAATTGCTATCATAGGGAGGTATTTTTTACCATCTATGATAATGTGTTGCAGCCTATTAATGGAGATATTCAGTGGCCACAGTCAGACATGCTGGAGTTGGATCCACCAGCAAGTGTCACTCAACCTGGTAGGCCAAAGAAAGCTAGAAAGAGAGATGTTACAGAAGGAAAAGATCATGGCAAAAGGTTACGAAAGAGGGTTGTAATCCACTGTAGAAAGTGTGGAGGGATTGGACATAATGCTAAAACTTGCAAGAATCCTCCTAAGTCATCTACTGAACAGCAACCTTCTCAAGAACCAGCACCTACTGGACAACCTTCTCAACAGCAGCAGCACGAAGCACCAACAAAAAGACAACGTGTATGTTTGCACTTCATTATAACTTTCAGCCTGTTTGTGACCTTTTTTTGTGATCTGAAATGCTTTCTTTAATTTGCAGGTAAGCAAGAATCAGGGACAAAGAAATCAGTCCTAGCCTTCTCAGCAGCCACCAACACATCAACCTCAGTCCCAGCCTTCTCAACAGCAGCCAACACATGAACCTCAGTCCCAACAATCCACCTCAAGGCCAGCAGTTCATAGGAACAAGAGAAGTACATCAAAAAGGCCACTGACAGAAGCAGACAAAGGTTATATTAATCTCAACTATGCTTATTTGGGTAAAGATCCACCTTTCAATGTTGGAAACTGGCAGGGAAGAGGTGGAGGAAGAGGAAGAGGCAGGGGAAGGGGAAGGGGAAAGGGTCCATCTGAAACAAGTTCTTGAAGTATTGTTGGACCTACAAATATTTTTGTGTGATTTTGTTGACTGTAAATGGATGTAACTAGAATGTTGAAACTATAAATGATATTTTTTTGAATAGGCTTTTGTGGGGAATCAAAGCATGTGCCTGTGCTTGGTATCTAGTTAGATGGACACAGGTCACTGCTTTTTGTGTATTTGTATGTTTCCTATGAAAGTGATTGTTGACTGTATTTACAGGCAAACACCATTGTAATTTCCTTTTGCTAATTATATTCTAATGTTATGCAGTTGCTATCTTATATTTGTATGGTTTGGTATAGCAGATTTTGTTGACTAGATAAATCAAATAAATCCAACAAAGCCCATGACATGCAAATTGGGATAAATAATTCTCATCACATTACTTACCGAAAATTACAGTTAGCATTGATTGGGTTCAACCATACTTTCACACTAATCTGTGGGTACAACAAAGACTTGTTTAAGCTAAACAATACAATATACTTCTCCCTAACCATCTGCATCATACACCATAGATCCATTTGCTCCATCCATGGTTCTCAAAACTGACAGTACGATGGCAATATGTTACACTTACACACAGCCCTTCATGTATCCTCTTCAATTTGCATAATCCCATTACATTTATTCCCAATTTGGAGCATCCCAAGAGAGACTCCACCTGCAATTTTTTTCTCTGTAAGCACCATTATTACAGCAACCAACCAACTTACCACAAAAACCCTTACAAGCAACTTGTTCAACCATTTCTGCCACCGCAGCTGCTTCTCTGTTTCTCTCAATTTTGCCTTCAACTTGGCAGCTTTTGCCTCGGATCTCGCAGCTGCAGTTTCAAATTTGTCTTTTTGCTTTTCTGTTGCATTGATCCTCCTTAGAAGGCCTGGTATCACCTCAATAGAACGACGGCACATCTCGTCGTCAATCCAATTCCAATACCCGCAGTCACCAATTTCTTCTGAGCAAACGATGTACCTTCTTCCTGATTTCTATCAGTCCAAGAAGTAATCATCTTCGTGACTTTACCGCATCGACAAGTAGGAAGCAGAGGGCCGCGATATTTGCGCATTTTTTCCTTCCC